TAGTGAAATATCTTTGAAATTTCTCTAAAGCCTATAGTAGCTTGGAAGTCCCCGGCAGAAGGAATTATCAAGCTAAACTTTTGTGTAGTAGCCTCGGTAATTCTGGGCCTTTTGGTATTGGAGGAGTTTTTAGAAATACGAATGGTCAAATTGTTGCCTTATTTTCTGGTCCAATTGGAGTGGAGGTGCGGTTAATGGAGAGGTCCAAGCAGTCTACAGGGAGTACAGATTGCTAGAGAGGTGAACTTTGGGAGTTAGCTAATTGAAGGTGATTCTAAACTGGTAACTGGACGGCTGAAGGAGCCGGAGACTGTAGCTTGGTCCTATAGGGTAGTGATGAGAAGGTTCAAGTGGATAACCTCCAATATAATAGTGAGAGTTCATTGGGAGAGGAGATCGGCTAATGGGCAGGAAGATTTTCTATCTAAAGAAGGGGTGTATAGGGATAATTTATTTTTGGCGCAATTGTAATCCTGAAACTTTTTTTTTGAAGAATAAAATGGAAATTCATTAAATTGAAAAAGAGGCAGTACATCCAAAATACTGGTTGTCTAGATGACAAACCATCTGCTTAACATAATTACACTGAAAATGAATCAAAATTACATGAATTCAATTCCAAAGTATTCCAGAAGTTCTCTAACAGATCTTCCTTGTGGGCAGAAGTCATATTGCCCACTCCTGCTATCAGATATTCTATGTTTTTTGACTTGTCTTCAAATACCCTTCTGTTCCTTTCTTTCCAAATGGCCCAACACACTACAAATGGAATACAGCTCCACAAGATTTTGGCTTTCTTGCTTCCTCTGATTTTATGCCACAAGGAAAAAAATTCTGCTGATGTCGTTGGAAGAAAAGCAGCCACTCCAAACAGATGAGGGAAAAACTTCCACATAAAGTTTGCCACATTGCATGTGAGGAATAAGTCAAGAACTGTTTCCTCTGCTTGGCTGCACATATAGCAACAATTTGCAAGCTGCAATGGATTTCAGATGATTGCTAGTTAAGATACTATCATGTGCCGCCAGCCACACAAAAGCCTCTTCCCTTGTGGGGACAGGATTGCCCCACACATCCTTTATCTGATTTGAATCCCTACCATCTCTCAGCAGAGCCTTGTAAAAGGATTCAACTGAAAATTGTCCTTCTTTGCAATCTTTCCACCATAAACCATCTGATGTATCTCCGGAAATGTTAGCCTCTTCCAATTTCTCCAATAGCTGAATGCATTCTTCCACTTCTTGGTCCAATAACGGTCTTCTAAACTTGGATTCCAGACCACTTGCTCCCCCCTCCACTTGTAACACTGCTCAATAGGCACTTGTTGATCTGTCAATTTATAAAGTTTAGGACATACCTCACATAATCTTCCCACCTCCAACCACTCATTTTCCCAAAACCTTACCCTAGAGCCTTACCCAACTTTAAACTTAACTTCTGAAATTTTAATTGAAGCTCATGATTCCCTTCCATACACTCACCCCATAGAAACTTCTAAAATTTTGCTTTTATTTTTAAATTTTCATTTGAGTACGCTTTACATGTTATGTTTATGTATTCTAATTTTAGATAATAGGTTATTTAAAATTTAAGTTTATATTTTTTTATTAACATTATGTTTAATATTTTTTGAATTTTTTAAAAAAAATTTTGGCATTTTTTTTGAATTTTCTGATCTTTTTTTTTATTTTTTTTTGGTAGTTTTGCGCCTTGCTTAAAAAGGTGCGTGCCTTGCCCCTCAGGCGCAAATTGGCCCTTGCGCTTTTAAAACACTGGCTGACCCATCCACTTGCACTTCCTTCCACTTGTTTTCTATCCATTCTACAAAGTTTGATTGAAGAAGCCATTCATTCTTGAACCTGAAAGGGTTGAAGCCTGTAGCAGCCGCAAATTTTCTCAACAGGATTGGTCTATGATCTGATAGTTGGATGGTTAATGGTTCCTGAACCACTTCACCCACATAACCTGCCCAATCTTCTGAGAATAAGATTCTGTCCAGCCTTCTGAGAATGGCTGGAATTTGGCCATTCGACCATGTAAACTTCTCTTCCCTCCAACCAAAGGTGGATCAATCAGCTCATTATTGGTTATAAGTTCTTCAAACCTCCTCATACCTGCAGAAGTTCCTCTCCCTTCCCCCTTCATTTCATTCCTCCTCCTTACCATGTTGAAATCCCCACTCACACCAAGGCCAATTCCACTTTTGTCTCAACCCTTCTAAATCCTCCCACATCTTCTTCCTCTCCCTCTCCTCATTTGGCCCATACACATTTGTTAAACCCCATCTCCAATCCCCATTTACATCTTGTAATCATACTGATACTGAGAACACTCCAACATCCTCCCCAACCTTTTTAAAGACTCCTGGGTTCCATATGATTACAGCTCCCCCTGACAGACCCAAAGCTTTAAGCTCCACCCACTCTCCTCCCTCTTCCCCCCATATTTCATTTTCCATTTTCATATCAAAGTTTTTCAATTTTGTTTCTTGGAGTAAAACCACCTCTGGTTTAAAGCTCCGGAGCAAGTTACTATCTCCCTCCTCCTACCATCCCTCAACCCTCTTACATTCCAACTAAGAATCCTCATCTTCCTCCTCCCCCCAAATTACTCGAGCTCGTCCAACCCTTCCTCTTCTCCTCCCTCCTCATCCCACCCCTTTATTTTTTCTAGATATTCTTCCCTCTTCTTCTTCTACTCGCAAAGCCTTCCCCTCCCCAGAAGACTAGCCCGAGAGACTTTCCGATCTCCACCTCCCTCTCCACCAGTTTATTAATATTTACCTTCCCATTTTGTATTATTTCTTCAGCTTTGTGATCCTTTTGTATATGTTCTTTATCTTTCTCTCTGTTCCTTTCCCCAATCACTGGTCCTTCATCTTCTACCCCTTGTTCCCCTCCTTCTAATCTCTGTGAAGAGTCTTTAGGTCTTCTTTTTTCTATTGTAAACCCTATTTCGTCTTCTACCCCCTTTCTCCTCCTCTCTCAGAGGTCTCTTCGCTGAAGCTTTCTCCCTTGTCCCTCCTGTTTCTTTTCCTTCTTCCCCTTCCTCTCTGGTTGGAGTTTCTAGCACCAGAATGCTTGGCACTCCAGGCTGACTTACCTCTTCAATTCTGGGCGATGATACCAGGATGCTTGAATCGACACTCCCATACTCTCTTTCTTTCCTTCCTTCTAATTCCTTCTCTGTATTCTCTATAGGACTCGAGTCCTAGTTGACCAAGAGATGCTCCCCCTCCTGAATGTGCAGCTTCCCCGATGTCCCTGACTCTTCTTCCTCTTCTACTTGAGTTTTTTTTTTTTTTTCCTTATTACTCTCTTGGAGTGGAGTTCCCTTCTTTCAGCTTGTTGGGTGAATCTTTTTAGATGTTCTGGCTTTCTGGCTTTCTGGCTCTTTACTTCTTTCTGACTCCACCGACTTCTCTTCTATATCTGTTCTATGCACCTCTTCTTCCACTGCTGAGCTTGTTGTTCTTCTTTTGTCCACCTCGCTGCCTAGAATCTTAAGCTTTCTTCCCTTCTCATGCTCGGTCACCACCCAGGTCCAATTTCCGCTTTCTTCTTCCTTGTGCTCAGTTTTATCTTGTTTCCTGGATCTCAAGCGTTCAAAACTGGATTTCTTCGAACATAGGCCTGTTCTTCCTTTTTTACCCCTCTTGTTCTCCTTTCCTTTCTTCCTGTTCCCTCTTTTAAAGTTTACCGCTAACCTATTAAAGCGGTAACCTTTTTTAACACTTACCTCCCTAACCCCGGTTGGTGACGGTTTCTTTCTCCAGCGAATTCCTCCCTCTTTATCACTTTCTCCTCCTACTGGCCTGGGCTCAATAACCTTCAAGTGTCCCATATGCTGAACTGCCACCTTACTCTTGCCTTCCACGTGCCTCCTTCTTCTTAATGATGCTGCCACCTCATCATCATCTTCTTCTTCCCTTCTTCTCTTCGTCTCCTTTGGCCTCTTCATCTCCTCTCCTGTTTCTGCACTCTTCCTCTCTCCTTCCTCCTCCGCTTGATCTTCTTCCTCTCTCCTCCCCTTGTCCTGGGTCGTCTCCGCCCCTTGACGCCTCTCAGCTCTACAGTAAGTACCATCTACTCCTTCTACAAACAATCTCAGATTGTACCATTCACCTGCAAAACCCAAGCACAACCTCTATGGGATGTTAGAAATATTTTCGACTTCAGCCAGTATCCTTGTCATGTCCATTTTTTCCCAAGTCCTATTTCTGCCGTCCATTCTAATGAATCTTCCGCATGCAGTAGCTAATTCCTCGAATATATTGATACACCATGCATGTAGTGGGATCCCTACAATGTCTATCCATACTGCTCCCTTCCACCTACCTTCTACCAGTTCTCTAGCCGCCGCCAACCATCTATCCAGCCTCAGATCGAAATCTCTTACTTTTTTTTTTCTCTTCCTCTAAAACCTGTTCAGCAAATTGGCTACTGTGAAACATTACCAGTAAGAGCTCTGCGTGCAGTTTCCGTATTCCCAAAACCTTTTATCTTCCCCATTCTAGCTTCGCCCAACTCTCGAAGTCCTTTATTTCCACTTCTCTCCCTACTACTCTACCGACCAAGCTTGCTCGAAGGACGTTCAATCTCTCCTCCAACTTCCCTGACTTTCTTACCTCAACTACTACCTCCATCTAGTCAGAGATCAGATATATTCAAGGTTGTATTATAAATGCTTTTCCCATCCATTGACGCTACAACTAGTGCCACTTTGTTGAATTTTATGCTGTATCCTTTTATAGTTCCTATTCGAGCATTAATAAGATGCTTATTATTATTTATCAAAAGAAAAGTCCATCAATATCAAAATTACAAACCACGTTGGTGAGTAATTTTTGTTCTTCTAATAGTTTGCTATTTAGACATACTTTTGTTGCATTAAAAATGAATTCATTTTTTCTTTGTCATGACCAGTTTTTTTCTACTTCTTTGCTTGTGATGAATTTAACTAGAGCTTAACATGTTCTTTCTTATTGAAAACTTTGCTAGATGATCAAATATGGGGTTGTCAGAATGCATGATTTGGTTCAGGATATATTGAATTGGGAGAGGTTTTATTTCAGTGGTCGTCTGCAAAAACCTGTATGTATTCCTCACTGCTATTCTTTTTTTTTTAGTTTCTCTAGTTTGACATGTATGTCCGCACCATAAATTACTTTCTAACACAAACTTGACTTATTGGTAATTTGCATTTAAAGTTTTATGTTTCCCATTTAAATAGCTTGGTATCATTCAGTGGGATGTTTCACTTTAGTCGTTTCTTTTTCTTGTTTTGATTTGATTATGAAGATCTCCCTAAAACCACACACATAGTTTTCATGCATGCATGCGTACTACTACACTCTGTGCAATTGATGGACACAAGGTTTTGACCCAGTTATATATTCATGTGAAGAATTGATGGAATAACAGATACACTGTTCGTCAGCATGATACACCTCTGGCGATACACAGAGGTGTATTGATACTTTGAAGCATGTGTATATCCAATCCCCTTTTTTATGTCTTGTCAGATCTTGGACACATTTGTTTGCAATTAGATTTTGGTTTGTAATTTGTTTACCTTGGACATAGAGACCCTTGATTTTGAGAGGAAGTGTCTGTTTTAGATGATCTGCTCCCCCCCATAGTTAGTGTTATGCAACTTCATTCTTCTTAATACTAGATATATTTCAGAAAAAAGAAACAAGAAAAACAAAATGACATCGTCCTTCTCCTTCTTCTTCTTCCTCTCCTCCTCTTAAGGAGGCTTTACACTTCCATGTTTTGAAACATTGATATACACTACTCACCCAGCTTATTGGCCTAAAATTTCTAGAATCAAGGGCTTCTATCTTTTTGGTAGGGTGCAAGTCATGTACCCAATTTCAAGATTTTACACTGCATTGTGCTAGGGCTTCCGGGCTGGGCCCATTCAAATTTTTATAAAATCTTGACCCAAGCCTGCCCATGTTGCAACCCTACTTTTTGGGGATTAAAGTAATAAGAGTGGCATTCATTCTTGCATTGATTTTGCCTCTTATATAGAATTCTTGAAAAGCATCCATGGTGAAGTGGAAAACGGTTGGGATGCAAAACTAACCTCCAATGCAGCTCCATACTCCCCTTGGAAGGCAATCTTTGAGGTACTACCAACCTTTCTTAACTTTATCCGCTTTGATGTTGGGTGTGGCAATAAAGTGTTATTCTGGGAAGACCTATGGGTAGGGGATGTGCCCTTTAGTGTTAAGTTCCCTGACCTCTACTCCTTGTCAAACCTTAAGAATGAATTTGTTGCTCGGGTTGGTATGCTCTCAGACTTGGGTCTTTCGTGGGACTTTGGCTTCAGAAGGGGTCTAAGGGATAATGGGTGGGCTTCCCTATTGCTCTTGATCTCAACCTTGGAGAAGGTCCACTTAGACCAAAATATAGCTACAGTAGAATCTGGTCCCCAGTCTTTGACGGCTTATTCTCTTGTTTCTCTTTCTTTACTATGCTCTCTCATTCTGAAATATGGGGGGGGGGTGAATTTCCCAGTAAGAGAAATCTGGTGCAAACTGATCCCTGTGCTACAGAAAAGAAAGCCAAACAACTGTCTTTCTCCTCATGGTGTGTTCTTTGTAAGGCTTGTGGTGAAACCCTACCCATTTACTCTTGTCATGCTCTTTTGTTTCTTGTACTTGGGAATTTGTTGTTTCTCTCTTTGGATGCAGATAGGCTCCTCCACAGGATGTAGTAAGTCTCTTCAACCCTACTTTCCTAAGGCAACAGAAAAAAAAGAGGAAAGTGTTTATGGAACAGCAAGAGCTGCTGTGGTGTGGACTATATGTGAGGAAAGAAACCAAAGAATTTTCTTTGAGAAAAGCAAATCAAAGGAGGAAGTCATTGAAGCCATAAAAATTAGAGCTGCACATTGGGTGATGGCCATGGACCTATTCAAGAACTTCTCTACAAATGACATTCTAAGGAACTGGACTGAAATGACACAAACAGATGTACCCAAAGAAATGGTGAGAGTGGAGTGGAAGCCACCTGCATTAAATAAACTAAAACTAAACTCTGATGGGAGTTCCTTTGGCAACCTGGGAAGGGCAGATATAGGAGGTGTTATGAGAAATCATCAAGGGGAAGTTGTGGTACTTTTCTCAGGACCAATAGGTATTGGTGAGTGGTGACTCAATTGACTCTCCTACAAGTCTTAAAGCTGGCTGAGCAGATTGGAGTAACAGATTTAGAAATTGAAGGAGACTCACTACTGGTCATTTCTTGGGCAAAGCAAATCACTTCTGCACCTTGGAAGCTCAAATTTATCTATAGGGAAATTGGCATACTTGCAAGGAGGTTCAACTCTCAGTGTGGTTGGGTAAAAAGGACTGCAAATGGCTTGGTGGATACCCTAGCAAAACAGGGAGCAAATAGACCTACTTTGTTCTGGGCAGAGCTGTAATTGTTTTGTATTTGTTTGTAGCTTGTGTGAATGCACTGCTGAAACCTAACTCTTGTAATTTAATTTTATCTCTGATTTTAATAAAAGTCTTATTTGCTAATCCAAAAAAAAAAAGAATTCCTGAAAAAAACTCTAGGAATTCATCTTTCACTATTTACCAACAGGCCTGGAAGAAAGCCATTATACAACCATCCAGAGACGGTGCTTTAGATCTTTCAATAGAAAATACAACAATTTTTATTCTTTTCTCGAGATTTGATTCTCTAAGATTTTGGCCATTTTCCCTTGCCAATAAAGTCCTATATATGTCTTGGGTAGGTGAGGTGTACCATAGATAATTTTGAAATGATCCAAAACATGATTTGGCTATGTTGTCCACACAGTTTTTTACATGATACCATCATCATTTTCATTCTCTCTTATTGGTTCTGCTATTGATTGTAGCCTGTCATTTAAGGATCTGAATATTGTATCCTTTATCCTCCACAAGCTTGATTTTAATAGTCCCAAACTCACAATGTTGAGTTCCTCCCACTATTCCAGGTTCATATATTAGTGGACAATCTGGACATACGAAATGTAAACTCAGTTAACTTGAAGGCTGCAATGTCTGCTGCACTCCTTCTTTTGCCACCCAAGTTTACTGAGGTTTGTTTCTTCATCACTTTCCAGTCACTCTATATTGCTAGAATGATGTTATATTTCCATTCACACAGGTTGAGCTGTATGCTAGAATATGTAGCCTCTCATACATGGGTGACTTGCGCATGCTATTTGCAGAAGACAGAAACAAGGTGAGACTGGTTATAACTTACAAAGGTGTTTTGCAATAAATTACTGCCTTTATATCATATTGTCCATAATACCACACACACACACACACACACACACACACACATATATGTATATATATATATGTATATATATATGTATGTATATATACATATATATATACATACATATATATACATATATATATATATACATATATATACATATATATATATATATACATGGCAGAATGGCAGATATAGGAATAGTGCTCCAAACTCATTTTCTTTGTGGAAGATTCTTGGGTCATTTTGACCTTTTTGCTAAATGACTCAACTAGCATACCTGCATATATACAATAGGCTGGTGGCTGGTCTGTCCTCAGAATTAAGTCTGCTGTTCGATCCTTCTTGTTTTGTGTGGCCTACAAAAAAAGGAAAAACGATGTGGAGATGCATTAGAGCAGCAGCCTTGTGGACAATTTGGGAAGAAAGGAATGCTAGGGTGTTCAAAGAAAAGGAAAGAAGCTTACAAACTGTTGAGGATTGTATACTGACTAGAGCCATTCATTGGCTAAGAACTTTGGACTTCTTTCATACGTTTTCCTTTGATGACATTTGG